TTTCCCCATAGAACTCAATGTAAACTAAAACAGCTTAACCTCAGCTGACAGAGAACCTGACAGAAAACCTACAGCTCTCTGTAGAGCCTTTAAAGCATAAAGGTCAGATTTTGTGGGGATTTTAGTGTCCCTTGTCATCCTGAACTTTTTTTCTTCTTAAATCCTTCGGTTTTGTTTAAATCCACACTTTAGTGCCACAAACTGCTCGTCTGGCTCTCGCTCTAACTCCCGCTCTGATGAACTGCTCTGATTGGTCAGAGCGCGGCCGAGCCCCTCTGTGCACGTGCGTGAGACCCCGTGTGAGACCCACACACGCGTGTTTGGCGCAAAGCATCATGGGAGATCATCCGCTGCGCAGAACCGGGAGGACCAGACGATGCCCAAATACAGGCGAGTTTCCCATAGATCTTTGAGAGTTTCCCATAGATCTTTGAGAGTTTCCCATAGATCTTTGAGAGTTTCCCAGAGATCTTTGAGAGTTTCCCATAGACCTTTGAGAGTTTCCCATAGACCTTTGAGAGTTTCCCATAGATCTTTGAGAGTTTCCCATAGATCTTTGAGAGTTTCCCATAGATCTTTGAGAGTTTCCCATAGACCTTTGAGAGTTTCCCATAGACCTTTGAGAGTTTCCCATAGATCTTTGAGAGTTTCCCATAGACCTTTGAGAGTTTCCCATAGACCTTTGAGAGTTTCCCATACTGTAGATCTTTGTGAGTTCCAGGCGACTTCCGCTAATCTTTCAGCCCCCATGCCGTCACAAAGCACCACTGAGCACAACCATTCATTTTAATAGGGCGCCATCTTGGATCGCCAGGGCTTGATGAAGCTGCGCCGGCTGACGCATGCGCAGATGCGTTTTTTCACAATTTTCTTGTGGGCGGGACCACTCACGGCCATTTTGGATTGCTCCAGTAGAGCACATTTTTTGGCCCATTAGTTAGAACGGCGGAGATAGGCGTGACTCTGTCCGTTAATATATACAGTCTATGATTCATCCCACAGAGGGGAACTTTCAATTACTCTGACACATAGAATGTATATATTTGCTTAAGAAAAATAGCGCCACCTGCAGTTGAAAGGTTGATACAGTCAGACCTCTGAAGCTAAGTAGGGCAGGTCCTGGTTTGTTCTGATGGGAGACCTGGGCTGCAGATTTTTGAAGTGCCAAAAATGTCTGACACTTGTTGCTTTACTTCCATCCATCTGTCTCAGGGCAGCTGTGGCCACACTAGAAGTTTATCCCCACAAGTGTATAGAGTAAATGAATAATGCCATTTGGGGCATATTTCAACAACAACAACAAAATAATAAAAAAAAAAGTTAAGGGGTGATAGTAGTTCAGTTAGTAGAGAATTGGCCTTTGGGTCTGGAGGTTGTGGGTTCGAGGCCACCATGGGACGTACTCCAACTGCTCCCACAAATGTCTACTGTTGTTGTGTCCTTGGGCAAGACACTTAAGCCCCCTCTGAAAGACTAAAGCTGTTTAATATGGACTTAATAAAGGACTTAAATATGGTCAGAGCTGTTCCAGAAATCCAAAGCTCCCAAAATCACAACTTTTCTCAATCTCGATTATGGATGGAATTATACCATGGATCTATGGACTATACTCAGTGTTATACGTCAAAGATAATGAAAGTAAACAAATTCAAAATAACATCAGATCTTTGTGTCCGTAAACGATCTGTCGACTTCTGAGCGTCTTTTGAGGTTTGGACGGCGGACGTTTAGAGGTGAGGAAGTCTCTCTTTTGGCCACAGAGAAACTGAGACAAAACCAAGTTATTTCAGACCCACAAGGTTAAACCCAGAGACCTCAACCTGATCCAGCTAACCACTCTGCCACTCTGCCTGCGCGGGACAACTCTGTCTGGTATCTGTGTTCCATTTTTATATCATTAATAATACACATATTTATGAGATATTTATATTTATGACTTATTTTTTGTCTAGTTTAAGACCCACTTTTACTCACTGGATTTTAACAGTTGTGTCTGGGTTGTGTGAGTTCTGTGGTCCTCTGTCTTTTACTTGTTTTTATGTGTTTGATTTTTCTATAATAATCATCAGGATTTTATATTTTTTGCATTATTGTTTTGTTTTTTATATATTTATTTTAACTTTGAAATTCACTTTGATAACTGTGGACTATGACTTGTGCAGCCTCAGTCCTGGATCTACAACCTAGTCCTGGGTCTACAGCCTCAGTCCTGGATCTACAGCCTCAGTCCTGGGTCTACAGCCTCAGTCCTGGATCTACAGCCTCAGTCCTGGGTCTACAGCCTCAGTCCTGGGTCTACAGCCTCAGTCCTGGGTCTACAGCCTCAGTCCTGGATCTACAGCCTCAGTCCTGGGTCTACAGCTTCAGTCCTGGGTCTACAGCCTCAGTCCTGGGTCTACAGCCTCAGTCCTGGGTCTACATCCTCAGTCCTGGATCTACAGCCTCAGTCCTGGGTCTACAGCCTCAGTCCTGGGTCTATACAGCCTCAGTCCTGGATCTACAACCTCAGTCCTGGGTCTACAGCCTCAGTCCTGGATCTACAGCCTCAGTCCTGGATCTACAGCCTCAGTCCTGGGTCTACAGCCTCAGTCCTGGGTCTACAGCCTCAGTCCTGGGTCTATACAGCTTCAGTCCTGGATCTACAGCCTCAGTCCTGGGTCTACAGCCTCAGTCCTGGATCTACAGCCTCAGTCCTGGGTCTACAGCCTCAGTCCTGGATCGAGTCCATCCATGGGAGCAGATCCAAGGCACATGCACATTACATATGAATGTTATGAGTGAGTGAATGGAGGGTGTTTGGTCAGAGGCTTTGATGGTCCAGTGTGTTCGGCGTCTCGCTTCCGTCATCACCGTGTGTGAAATGAATGGAACAATATCTGAACTCTGAACATTGTAAAGCGCTTTGGGTGACCTTGATCTGTAAAAATGTGCTATATAAATAAACATTACTTACTTACTTTCTTTGTTTTTTTTCTTTTTTGAGTCGTCCCTCGCTGGGGACAGTGATGATCCGAGACATATAGTCATTTATTAGCCTGTATAGACATTGGTCATCTGCTCCCTTTGGACCAATGTATTTGTTCCTGTTTTCCAACTGTTTATTTCTCTGATCAAAGTCTGGCTGTTATGATTTAGAGCTTTACAAAAACACGTTGAACAGACACAGAGAGAGAGAGAGAGACGCAGCAGAAACAGGATAGATGTTTTATTCAAAGGCATAACAGTGATTGCACGTTACTGAAGCCGTGTGTGCGAGTCCTGACATCAGCGTGGTCTCTGGAGAATGTGGTAGATCATGGACTTCGGCGCCTCCTGCACACAACATGCCACTCTTCTCTTCTTTTCTTCTGCTTATTTCTTCAAAGCATCTCATACAAAGAGCCTCAGGTGCATTCACTTACTCACAACTGAGCCGATAAGTGCCGCTGTTGGGGGACACCAGTCTGGTCTGGTGCAAAATAAAGTACTGCATTTTATAGAAGCGTCCTTGTTATTGACACAAATCTCTCCATTCATACAGAGATTGCTTTTTAAGGTGCAGTGCGAAGTGTCTGGGGAGAGGGAGGGCATGGGTTTTCCCTTGGGTCATTGTACATTGTTTAAAGAGTGGCCACTGTCTCCCTGCATAGTGATTCTGGAGTCGCAGTTTTTTTGACAAACATTCACTATTTTGCATTCAAAGTGACGTTTAAATCCACGGATCCTTCACGAGGTGCTCCACTGCGGAAAGAAATAATCGCAAATAAGTTGAATTCAGAATATTAACTTAGTAACCCTTTGTTATTTGACTAGACCTAGAACTTCCAGTTTTAATTACGTTGGCCAGGGGTAAAGCGTTTTGGTTTATGGCTACGGTTTCTTCCTTCTGCTGGCTTTGACGAAATACAAAATGTAGAAATACCTTGAAACTGCTCATAATTCAGACCTATAAAAACCTAATATAGTCGTGACAAAAGAAAGAGAATATTCTGAATTCAACTCATTTCCGTAGAAGTGTTTTTTTGAAGGCCTCACAAGTCACGAGCCCTGAGTGAGAGTCCAGAGGATAAAAGGTGAAGAAGCAGAGTGAGGAGACGGGACTGGGACAGGACTGGGACTGGACTGGGTCAGGACTGGGACTGGACTGGGACATGCACGGGACGACAGAGAGTGGAGACAGCGACACAGAAGCTACCTCACCTACTGAAGCTAGTCCCAAATGTGTGTCTTCTACTTCAAAGTCACGCCATCATAGTTAAAACAGTTGACACGACAGAGATACTTTACCGCATTTTCAAGATACGAAACACATTCATGAACTCCATTGTACGTTACACAGCAAAGTGTTATGGTTTTTGGATGAGAGAGACAGCGAGAGAGAGAGAGAGAGAGAGAGAGCGAGAGAGAGAGAATTTGAGCTCTCTCTTAGCTCTGCTCTGGACTGAACTGGACTGGACTGGACTGGACTTGTTGTGGATGTGGGACTCATTCTTGATCTCCATTGAACATTACACAGCAAAGTGTTGTGGTTTTTGGATGAGAGAGACAGCGAGAGAGAGAGAGAGAGAGAGAGAGAATTTGAGCTCTCTCTTAGCTCTGCTCTGGACTGAACTGGACTGGACTGGACTTGTTGTAGATGTGGACCTCATTCTTGATCTCCATTGTACGTTACACAGCAAAGTGTTGTGGTTTTTTGATGAGGGAGAGAGAATCCGAGCTCTCTCTTAGCTCTGCCCTGGACTGGCCTGGACTGGACTTCCTGTGAGAGAGCAAGACCTTAGAGAGCTGTAAATGTAGACCTCACAGTCACAGATAAAGTGGTGAAGATGGCGACCCCATGATTGAATGCGTCGGTCCATCAGCCGACGACCGGTACACACATGCACTATTCTAGCAGACGTCTCATGCCCTTCAGTGAGTGGACAGCGTGGATCATGGAGGCCACACAGATGCAGTGGATCCCCAACGGGAGAGTGCCCCTGTCTCTGTCTCTAAGGCACTAACGTTATCGTTGGGAGACTCTACAGGCCCATGTCCCCGCGGAGATCCTCCAGTTGGATGTGGTTGTGGCTGTCGTTGGGGGTCTCCACAGTGAAAGTGTTCTGAGGCACGTAGAGGGGGAAGTCGGACAGGCTCATGTTGCACTCTTTGTCCTCGTCTTCGGGATCGTCCTTGCATTTGTCCTCGCTAGTGGGCGTGCTACATTCAAACATGGGGGAGCTGCAGCCGTACGCCTCGCTGTGGGGACGCCGCGCCTCGTCCGGGATGTTCTTCTTCAGGTTGCGGCTGCGTTTGGCCAGTTTGGTGACGGAGCCCAGGCGGTTGAAGATGTTGTCCTCTGAGGTAGCCTGTTGGTTGGATGGCCGGTCGCTCTGCTCGGCCCCGCGCACTCGCAGGTTGTTGAGCTTGATGTCGATGCTCTCTTGGGACGAGGTCTTGTAGCTGTTGGTGTCCAGACTGTTGAAGATGGCTCTGCGCTCTGGAGAAAGCATGTCCAGGGACACGGCTCGCTGGTCCAGCCCCAGCTGCCTGCGCTCCATGCTGCGGATGGTGGCCGCCCGCTGCAGCTTGTCGTGGACCTCCACACTCATCCGCCTCCGAGTCTCTCTCAGCTCCGCCCGGACGTTGGCTTTCCACTCCGCGGCGTGGGCCTTTATCTCCCCCACCTGCCGCACAACACAACCTCAGAACACGTCACACAATAAACACAATAAAACCCCATTTACACCAAGCGGTTCGCAAAAACAACCCCACTCCGGATTGAAAATACAAAACATCTACACTGCGACTGAAAGCAATGTAGTTCTAGCGCCCGGGCCAGTAGGGGGCAGTAGAACTTTACAGCACGACACCCACCAGATAGTCTGCAAAAAATGATAAAATATGAGGTAATAAATGTTTGAATCAAGTGGTTTTCATCTTAACCTGACACATTCTGACTCAATTTGTCAATGGGACAAAGACTTATTTCAAGAACTGTTGCTTTATTTTCTCATTCAAAGGGAGATATTTCTGTATCTTTTTAATACAAGATCATTTTGCTTTGTTTCCCTTGTAATGAGAAAATAGTACAATATATCTTGAAATCAGACTAAATGGCCAAGTCCCATTGGCAAATATTGTTATCAGTCACTCACAATGTGCTCAAATTAAGATAAAAACAGTTGATTCAAGCAATTATTACCTCATAATTAATCATTTTTTGCAGCGCACTCTGGAGGACGTTTTTCAAAGCTTGCGTTTTCACCATGAAACACCGACGCCGTGTGAACGAAAGGCCAATCCGACTCCACCGTCTTTCTGTCACAGCGTCTCCGTGTGAACAGGGCCTAACACTCATAATACTTTTAAAATGTTAAACCTCTTCTTTGGTCTTCTTGGACAGAACTCTGAGCCAGTCCCCGATCATGTTCAACACGGCGGCGAAGTAAGCCAACCCTCCCAGGATCCAGAACCACACCAGGGGCCGGTACCACTTCATGTACTCGATCCGGCGATTTCCCCCTGGACCCACAAACAGGAAAACGACTTTATTTGCAGAAGACATACAAAGATACATGAGAGAGACACAAAGATATTGTTGGAGATACAGTGTGTTTGACCAAAGCTCTGCCTGTGAGGGACCGAGAGCTCGGGAAATTGATTTTTATTTGTACTTTTATGTGTCTTATCTCTTCGATCAGTTGGTGTCATCATAAACCAAAAAGATAATTCGGTGTCAGAAAAAGACATCTGTGAATTCAGTGTTTTAGCCTGTGGTCTGAGCTCTATGCATTTAGTTCGAGGTAAAAAAGTCTTGTAAAAGTAAAATGTAATCTTTTTAGAAAACATGTTATTTTTGAATTTTTTTATACGCCAAAGTCCGAGATTTTATACTTAATTCTTGCTATTTTATTATGATTTTATACATGCTTCTTTATAATGCTAAAGCTAGAGACATTGGCCTTTGCGCCTGAACGTCATGGCTTCTCCACCGACTCCCACTGATGTCTGCTGTCGTTGTGTCCTTGGGCAAGACACTTTACCCCCAAAAAAGATCTCTTCATCCTAATCTTAATCTGGGATATTTCCTGACCTGCCACGTAGTCCCCGATGCCCACGGTGGTGAGGGTGATGACCACAAAGTAGGTGGAGTCCAGCGCGGTCCAGCCCTCTATGTACTTGAAGATGACGGCCGGGAGGGTGACGAAGAGGATGCAGCCGGCCAGGATGAAGAGCAGGGTGGACGCCACGCGGATCTTGGTCTGGCTGATCTGCGTGGATTTGTTCTGCAGCGGCAACAAGACACAAGATGACTCACTCGCTACGAAAGAGACAAAAGGTGTGTGTGTGTGTGTGTGTGTCTGTGTGTGTGTGTGTGTGTGTGCGTGTGTCTGTGTGTGTGTGTGTGCGTGTGTCTGTGTGTGTGTGTGTCTGTGTGTGTGTCTGTGTGTGTGTGTATCTGTGTGTGTGTGTGTGTGTGTGTCTGTGTGTGTGTATCTGTGTGTGTGTGTGTGTGTGTGTGTATCTGTGTGTGTGTGTGCGCGTGCGTGTATTCATTTGCAAAAACACTGCTCAAAAAAACTAACAACAACAACGGCTGTGTCTGCTCTTTGTTGCCGTTCACAGTGAAGTCATGAAAAGGGGTGTGGCCTATTTTAGTAGAAGTAGAATTTTTATTTGAGCAGTTTCACAATATCCCCTCGACTGGGGATATTGTCGGGCGGTGGAAGGAATACTTCGAGGTTCTCCTCAATCCCCCCGTCACGTCCTCCGCCCCGGGGGCAGAGGCTGAGGATGTTGGGGCGGATACATCCATCTCCCTGGCGGAGGTCACCAAGGTGGTTGGCAGCCTCCATGGTGGCAAGGCGCCGGGTGTGGATGAGATCCGTCCTGACTATCTAAAGTCTCTGGATGTTGTAGGACTGTCTTGGCTGACACATCTCTGCAACATCGCGTGGCGATCGGGGGCGGTGCCAATGGAGTGGCAGACCGGGGTGGTGGTCCCTCTCTACAAGAAGGGGGACCGGAGGGTGTGTTCCAATTATCGTGGAATCACACTCCTCAGCCTCCCCGGCAAGGTCTACTCCAAGGTACTGGAGAGGAGGCTACGGCCGATGGTCGAATCTCGGATTCAGGAGGAGCAGTGTGGTTTTCGTCCCGGTCGCGGAACACTGGACCAGCTCTATACTCTCCATCGGATACTCGAGGGTTCATGGGAGTTCGCCCAACCTGTCCACATGTGCTTTGTGGATTTGGAGAAGGCGTTCGACCCTGTTCCCCGGGGTGTCCTTTGGGGGGTCCTCCTGGAGTACGGGGTCCGGGGTCCTCTGCTGAGGGCCATCCGATCCCTGTATGACCGGAGCCAGAGCTGTGTTCGCATTGCCGGCAGTAAGTCAGACCTGTTCCCGGTGCATGTTGGCCTCCGCCAAGGCTGCCCTTTGTCACCGGTTCTGTTCACTGTATTCATGGACAGAATTTCTAGGCGCAGCCAGGGGCCGGAGGGGGTCCGGTTCAGGGACCACAGGATTTCATCTCTGCTGTTTGTGGACGATGTTGTCCTGTTGGCTCCAACGAACCAGGACCTGCAGCATGCACTGGGGCGGTTTGCAGCCGAGTGTGAAGCGGCTGGGATGAGAATCAGCACCTCCAAAAAGGTGCCTTGCCCTCTGCAGGTGGGTGGAGAGGTCCTTCCTCAAGTGGAGGAGTTCAAGTATCTCGGGGTCTTGTTCACGAGTGAGGGAAGAATGGAGCGTGAGATTAACAGGCGGATCGGTGCAGCGTGCGCAGTGATGCGGTCGCTGTATCGGACCGTTGTGGTAAAGAGGGAGCTGAGCCGAAAGGCAAAGCTCTCGATTTACCGGTCAATCTTCGTTCCCTCCCTCACCTATGGTCATGAGCTTTGGGTAGTGACCGAAAGAACGAGATCGCGGATACAAGCGGTCGAAATGAGCTTCCTCCGCAGAGTGGCTGGGCGCTCCCTTAGAGATAGGGTGAGGAGCTCAGTCACACGGGAGGAGCTCAGAGTAGAGCCGCTGTTACTCAACGTCGAGAGGAACCAGTTGATTGGTCGGCAGATTGTTGACCATCACAACCTGTTCACTGCAGCACCCACACACAAACACGGGCAGAACATGCAAACTCCACACAGAGAAAGGCCTGGAGGTGGAATCGAAGCCAGGAGCAAGGACGCTAATCGCTAATCGCTAACTGCCGAAAGAGCAGACGTCTGTGGGGTGTGAGGTTATCGCTGAGCTCATGGCATCGATCGGTTTTATGACTCACTTCTGTTTTAATTACAAGCAGTAAAAATAATACTGTCGCTTTTTTAGTTGCAGATAACGGTGGATTTATTTCACTGAATGTTTTCAGCCTCATGGTTCTGTATTTATTGCAAGTTCTAAGTCTCTGACCATTTTGAAATAGCATAATATCAAACGAATATTTTAAGGAAATTGAATAAAATCAATATTGGCTAATTAAAAATATAAAAATACAGAATTAATCTTTGAAGCCTTACCCTAACTTTTCTGGAGGCCGGGAGAATGCTGTCGGAGTTGCAGAAGCCATGCACGTGGTGGGTGGTGCAGATCTGGAATGAAGTACTTTCCTCCCCCGGCTGCCGCCGAACATGGGGTTAGAACGGTGGGCCACCTCATACACTCCATGGGAGCATTTTTTTTCAGCACCTCGCCACCTAAGACCAAGAATTATTCACACCAGATGAGCAACTAAAAGGCAGATTTATTGTAATTCAAACAGACTGTTTTTGATGGGCCATTGGCTAAAGGGGGGGGGGGGGGGCGCGCACAAGCGACAATGAAATCCAAGGAGAGAAAAGTAGCCTCAAGTGGCACTTGGTTTAGGGCTGGGCGGGAGTGCGTAACTCAACTGTATGTTGCTCTGTGTATGTGTGTGCGTGTGTGTGTGTGTGTGTGCGTGTGTGTGTGTATGTGTGCGTCTCTGTCTGACCGTCTCTGCTTCAGTGACTGTTGCTCTGTGTATGTGTGGTGCGTGTGGTGTGTGTGTGTGTGCGTGCGTGTGTGTGTGTGTATGTGCGTCTCTGTCTGACCGTCTCTGCTTCAGTGACTGTTGCTCTGTGTATGTGTGTGCGTGTGTGTGTGTGTGTGCGTGTGTGTGTGTGTGTGTGCGTCTCTGTCTGACCGTCTCTGCTTCAGTGACTGTTGCTCTGTGTATGTGTGTGTGTGTGTGCGTCTCTGTCTGACCGTCTCTGCTTCAGTGACTGTTGCTCTGTGTATGTGTGTGCGTGTGTGTGTGTGTGTGTGCGTGTGTGTGTGTGTGTGTGCGTCTCTGTCTGACCGTCTCTGCTTCAGTGACTGTTGCTCTGTGTATGTGTGTGTGTGTGCGTCTCTGTCTGACCGTCCTCTGCTTCAGTGACTCTTGCTCTGTGTATGTGTGTGCGTGCGTGTGTGTGTGTGTGTGCGTGTGTGTGTGTGCGTCTCTGTCTGACCGTCTCTGCTTCAGTGACTGTTGCTCTGTGTATGTGTGTGTGTGTGCGTCTCTGTCTGACCGTCTCTGCTTCAGTGACTGTTGCTCTGTGTATGTGTGTGCGTGTGTGTGTGTGTGTGCGTGTGTGTGTGTGTGTGCGTCTCTGTCTGACCGTCTCTGCTTCAGTGACTGTTGCTCTGTGATGTGTGAGCAACAAGTGATGAAGACAAAAGCTGCAGTGATGAAGAGTCTGGGGTAAAGAACCTGTTTAATGAAATGATGATGTCGGAGCAAAGGGAATCTCTCGGATTCTCACAGAAATTAAATATTGATCTGAAATGAGCTTGCTTTGATTTATGACCAGTTTAAACACGTCTCACAAACATGGAACACACATCAACAGCAGAACTCCCACAGCAGTCCATCTGACGGCTTTCAGTTTTGGAAGTGTAATTACTCATGTCCTTATTTGCACCACGAGACCCTCTCTACCGACTCCCACTGATGTCTGCGGTTGTTGTGTCCTTAGGCAAGACACTTAAACCCCACTTTGCCTGAAGCCCCCACTGGGAGATCGAGGGCTGGTGCTCGGTGAATTGGGTGCAGCTCTGATTGGGACACAGCTATTTAGTTTTATATCGAGAACTATGGCTTTATTTTTCAATTCCAAAGGAGACATTTTTGTTATGATACATTTAACCAAATTTGAACAATTTTTGACTTTTTTTTATTACTTTTTCTTATCTGCGAAGGGGTCCTCTGGGTACTCCGGTTTCCCCTACCACTAAAAACATAGACAAGGGTTGAATGAGTGTGTGTTTGTTTGTGAGTGACGTCAAACTTAAGATTAAATCCACACGATTCAAGCAATTTTACCTCATATTTTTTAGCATTTTTTTCGGAGAATGCTTCCTCAGAGCTCAGAGCTGACACAGTCCTCAGTCTCACAGCGGTCGCTACTGTGCAGTCATCTCAGTCTCTCTCTCCGGACCAGGACGAGCTAATCTCCTGAAGGGGCCTCTCTGATCCGGTGAAGTGACCCGCGACGAGCCCTATATCTACCGCACCGTTTAGCGCTATCTCTGCTCCGGCGTCGACCCCAGCGGGAGGTGTGTACGTACATGCCACTGGAATCCCAAACACGGAGGATCCAAATCTACCAGTCCGGCCACCTTAGTGATGAGAACCAGACGACAGCAGTTCATAAAACCAATGATATCACAGTTTTCTGGACAAGGTGTTGGTTCAAATTGTGGAG